ATAAGTGGGTTTTAGGTTGCAGTTTGGGCACTCGGTCTCTAAAAGGTTCGCCATCACTGTGATAAGGTATTATTTTTGCCCATGTAATGTCAAGTTTGCGGAAAAAGGAGAAAAGTGGTAAAAACCACAAGAAAAATCAATTTCCATGTCGCTGATTTAATGGATATTATTTAACCGTGAAAATGTATTTATGTGGTGGCTAGGAGTTTAAACAATTTGAGGGCACATAATCAATCAATTTAACTGCAGGCAGTCCTCAACTTACAACAGTTCATTTAGTGACCATTCAAAGTTACGGCACTGAAAACAGTGAGCTATGACAATTTTTCACACTCATGACCGTTGCAGCATCCCCATAGCTGATCAAAATTTAGATGCTTGGCAACTGACTCATATTTATAACTGCTGCAGTGTCCTGGAGTCATGTGATCTTTTGTGATTTTCTTTTATGTATGTATGTATGTATGTATAAAATTAGTTTATTGAAAAAAGATTAAAATACAAAACACCAAAATATTGGTCATGTGATCACCTTTTGCAATGTTCTGACAAGCGAAGTCAATGGAGAAGCCAGAATCACTTAACAATCATGTCACTTGCTTAACAACTTCAGGAATTCACTTAACAACGGTGGCAAGAAAGGTCGAAAAATGGGGCAAAATTCACTTAACAAATGTCTCAGCAACAGAAATTTTGGGCTCAATTGTGGTTGTAAGTCGAGGACTACCTGTATGTTGCGGCTATTGTTCTTGTTGTTACACTACTACTACAGATGGATCAGTGGCAAAATATGAGTGAAACTGTAGGTCACCTCTAGATTGGACTATTGCAGGGGTAGGCAACCTTGTCTCTTTTATGACTCGTGGACTTCAACTCCCAGAATTCCTGAGCCAGCATGGCTGGCTCAGGAATTCTGGGAGTTGAAGTCCACGAGTCATAAAAGAGACAAGGTTGCCTACCCCTGGACTATCGCAATGCGCTCTACATGGGGCTGCTCCTGAAGGGTTTCTGGAAGAATACAGTGGTACGGGAAGTATGAGACCACCTAAAAAACAGCACATGTTGCATCTCTGCTCCACAAGGTGTTTTGGTTGTCAGTTTGTTTCTTGGCCCAAGACACTGGTTTTGACCTATAAAGCCCTTCATGGTATGGAGCCATTTTGGATTTGCACATTATTTCACTTTCTGGCTGGTATCAATGGCATCGTACGCCTCATTTTATTAGTATCTTAACTTCCAAATATACTATGCTATTCTTACAAGGGCGAGCCAGAGCTTAATCAACAACAATTCTGTTTCTTGCTGAATCAGCCAATTCTGTTTGGATATTTTATTCTCTGTGTCATGCAAAACCTGAACACTGCAATAACCAAGTAAGCTACAGTTAACTGAAAAACAGTGTTGGACAAATTTCCTGGGTTCACATGACATACTGACTCAAACTAATGGAGATCATCCTGGATGTGTCTCGTTGCTATGACTGGGGAGCATGATACTGGTTTTGCATACTTCTAGGCTGCTTTCTGTACTACTGACCATGGTATCTTTCTGGCTAGCTGTAAGAATTGAGAATAGGAAACATTGCTTTAAAGTAGTATTTCTGAACAGCTGTTTCTAGTTGGTGATATTGGGAAGGAGGGATCGAATCCTCAGGCACTCTTCTTTAATGTCTACACGAAGTCCCTGAGAGAGGTGATAATAATAATTTACTGATAAGATTTTTTTTCCCATGCAGTTCTGACAACCAACTTTTTTTTTAAAACTGAAGACATCAGGAACTTAACTGGAACATTTCTACATGGAAAAGCATAGGCCTTTCAATTAGCAATGGCATCTATACTGTTTAACTCAGTTTTATCTTGTCCCAGTGTCACTCTTGATGGTGATATGGGCAGCATTATGTTTAATAAATAAATAAGGAGACATTCACATGGAATTGTTGGTTTTGATTAGCTGTGTGAATTAGTTGTGTTGGTTTTGATTTAGTTGTGTGAATTAGTCCAATTCATCTTACTCAATAAGCCACTGTTAAACATACCATACTTTAAAATGAATTGCAAACTAGATCAAAGAAATTATGTTTAGTGTATACATTCCAGCAGAGAAAAGCAGCAGGTAGGTAGTCACCCAATAAACTATCTCCATTCAGATTCTTAATGCTATTTCTGAAGCCAACTACTGAGCAAACAGTACTTTATCATTTTAAATGACATACTGAATGTTTCAAACTTTAAAAATAACAAGTAAAGGCAATCTTTATACCTGAAAAGTGTTATTTTAATATATCCAATGCAGTTGGCTGAGGAATTATGAAGGCACAGATCACAATGTGGAACATTTGTTGGAGACGTCTTCATCTTTCTATTTTTTTAAAATTCTAGTCTATTACTTGATTTCTTCTTTTCATTTAGTCTTTTTCACTTGGTTAATTAAATTGCAATTGCTTCACACGTAAGGCATGCGTGAATTAAAAATTATTAACTAAAAATTGCAATTGTTTCACACCTGAGGCACGTGAAAACTTAGATTTATTTATTTTTACTAATTATATTGGTTAGTTCTTCAATTCTGTTTTCTTTTTCCCTAGTTATTTTATTGTTCTATTTTACTTTTGCTTTAAGCTCCCTTATTTCTTCAGCAGTAAATAAATTTAGACAGATAGGCAGCAAATACATTTAATAACAATTTAATAATAACAAACCAAATTTGCATTGCACAACGCTGCACTAGCCCATGAGAGAAAAGCATGGACAATGCCCTTATTATAACCAACTCAAATACCATGACAGATCGTATCAGATGTACAAAACCAGCCCCTCATATACTGGAATACTGCTATCATGTCGCCCCTGGTCCTTCTTTTCTCTTGACTGGCCATACCCAAATCCTGCAACCTCTCCTGCGCGAGCTGCACTGGCTGCCAGTGGCCTTCCGGGTGCGCTTCAAGGTGTTAGTAACAACTTTTAAAGCGCTCCATGGCAATGGACCTAGGTATTTGCAAGACCGCCTCCTACCAAATATCTCCCTTCGACCAGTCCGCTCCCACAGAGAGGGCCTCCTTAGGGTGCCGTCGGCCAGTCAATGCCAGCTGGCGACCCCCAGGGGGAGAGCCTTCTCTGTGGCAGCTCCTGCCCTCTGGAAT